CGGGCTGTTACAATATATATATATATATATATATATATATATATATATATATATATATATATATATATATATATAAAAACATACACATATCAATATGCTTTCATCACAAGAACATGTATATTTACATGTAAATAATCATTGAATTTCATATATTAGACAACAAAACTCACTGTTTATTCACATGTGAATAAATATAGCTTTACTTATCTGAATACAATAAAATATTGATTTTTTACCTATTCATATATGAATAAAGCAATATTAAAATATTATTTACCTAAAACATTGTAATTTTGGTTCTGATGACTTAAAATTTCATCATATTCATCATAATCTTAAAATATTGAAGCAAAAACATTATTATCATCTTTAATATGTAATGGAATTTATATCATCACTTACAAACGAGATCATCAAAACATAAAAGTTGTGAATAAAAATAATAACAAAAAAAAAATACAAAACAATACTACTCACATATGAATAAAACTCAAACTAAATATACTCTATAATATTCACATGTGATTATACCTTCTCACATGAATCAATATGTAGTTATTAAGAGCACAAAGAAAATATGTGATGTTATATGGAAATTAATATATGCTTTTAATAGTCCAAAGCAAACATATGTGATTAAAAGTTGCATTCATATGTGAATAAGGTAATATGAAATAATTATAAACAATTTTTATATGAATTCACATGTTAAACAGGAAAAGAAGACACATTAATTAAAATATAATAAATGATTAGTTAGCCCACAAAAGAAAACACATTGATGAAGACAATATAGTTCTTATACTCACATGTAAATGTTGTATAATTCAATATATTCAGTATTTTTTTATCATGTTAAAGTCACATGTGAATGGTTAAACATATTAGAAGCCAATACATGTAGTCCATCGTAGTATAATGTTGAATTTACATGTTGGTATGCATAAACAAACTTGATTCCTAAACCAATTCATGTGTTATATTATTTATTCATATGTAAATAATGTATGTATTCAAGTGCGAATAATATAACAAGAAAAGTGAGTTGATATGTCAATATACATTCTTGCATTCACAAGGAAAATAAGACAACTATTTTTGTTACATCCTATTGTTAAATGAATATAAAATTATTCAAAATCTAGTACATCTAGTTTCCTATTTATTCATATGTACTTAAAAGTAACAAGTCATGATGATGTCATCACTAGTAGGAATAAAAACTTAGTACCAGAATGATGTTTAGTCTCAAATTTTGATGAAATCTGCATGTTACATGGAAATTGGTGCGATATACAAAAACTCATAGCATCACCATAACATAAGGTGTTTTTTGCCATTAAAGACTTTTAGAGCCTCAAAAAGAGTTTTTTTTTTTCGTTAAAAGGTTTTTTGATATTTTATTTAGATAAATTATTAAAAATCTCAATCTAATCAATTATATATTTTAGTTATATGATATTAACATATATATATATATATATATATATATATATATATATATATATATATATATATATATATAACACCAGTCAAAATAGGTCAATAACAATCACATGTGATTATGCCAATTGTGCAATGTGATTTTTTTTAAACTAGTAATGTGATAAACTTACTATGTCGTTCATGATAAATTCTAATACAAATATGAACTTTCATACATACTTTATGATACAACTCAAATTATACATCCATGCGATTCCAAAAATATAGAGAACGTCTAAATCTGACTTCGCGTGAAGAAGTTCTGATAAACCCTAACACTATAAATCTCTATAATAAAAGGAATTTAAAATAGACTTAGAATTACTTATTGGAGTCTAAAAGAGAGTTGTAGTACTCGTAAATACTTACACATGGATATAAAGAACGTCAAAAACGAAGTTCGTATGCAAAAGTTATGACCTTCCGAATATACAGCTGTTAGAAACCCTATTCTAATTGGACTCACGACGTGAGCTTAATTTCTCACGACGTGAGGAGTCAAAACGCCACATTTCGAAGCTAGAAGTCTACATAACAACAAATAAAAAGCTCACGATATGATCAAGGATTTTTCACGACGTCAAGACGCTCCAGGACACTAATCGAGGCTAGAAAACACATGTTAAGGCTACAGGATGACTCATGGAAGTTCACAACGTGAACCTATCATGTTTACGATGTGAATGGGCTCAAAATAGTCTATAAATAGCGATCAAATATCATTCAATCCTTACACCTTCTCCTTTCATTCTCTCTCGTTTTCGAAGGTTGTTTCCCTTCGCGAGCCTAACAACGATGAGCCACTGACCGTTTAAATTTTATAGATCATGCTAATAGGGTGAGTTTCATGGCCCCAATTTTTAATGTTTTCGGGGGAAAACGCATGCTAAATACTGAATACAAGTTAACATTGGATTAGTGTCTAGCCCCGTAACTATATTTGGTAAGTATTTGACCCGGTTGTGCATGGTCCTTTTGGGTTGCCTTCACCAAAGCAACATGATAGGATGATTTATGAATAAAGAGTTTATTATGATTTATTAATATATTATATGAATAATATATTAAGGGTGAAATCATATAGTTTAATTAATATTAGACAAGAATTAATTAAGAGTTAATTATGTGGCTAAAAGAGATTAATTAAATAAAGGGGAGTGAAACTGTCAATTGTGTGATAATTGATTTGGGCTGAGAATCCTTTTGGATTTAAGGGGTGGATGAAAATTATAGTCAGACCCATCTAATTTCTTTCAAGGCCTTTATTCTGGAAGGTTCATTGGACTACTTAAGACCTAAGTTATCCAATTAGGGTTTTGACTAAAACCCTAGCAGCACAAGTAGAAATAGACCCCTAAGGCTTCAGAAATCGGCTAACCCTACTTCTAAGAGTAAAAAAGCCGACTTCAAGAGCTTCCAACCTCTCTCCAAGATCATCTCCTTGCTTGTGGTGTTTGTAAGCTATTAGAGGAGTGACATTTGTGACTCTAAGCTCCAAGGACAAGAAGATTCAAGCTTTCAAGAAGAGGTAATCATCGAGATCTTTTTTCTTATGCTAATTTCGAATTATATACACTAGATCTAGGGTTTGCAAGTCTTGGATCAATTGCATGTACAATACAGAAGCCTAGATCCAAGCATTAGGGTTTGCATGAACACATAGGATGTTATTTTGTGACAAACCCATCAGTGGTATCAGAGCCTTGATTGGCTTCTATTGTATTTGATGCTTTGTGTTTCATTCTTTCTTGAAAATCGAGTTTTTGAGTCTTCTGCCTGGTGGACTCGGTGAGTCCCAATGTGGTCTCGACGAGTAGGATGAACTCGATGAGTCCATAAGGGGACTTAGCGAGTCGGAGCGTCAGACAGAGAGATTTTTGGGATTTCTTGCTGTTTTGCTTAAGGATATTTGCCAAAATTGTTTTTGACTAATAAAATCCGAATTTCATTGTTGCTATATGTTTATCCTTTCCAAAACAAAAGATAATTACCATTTATTTGAATAATAAATTCCTTATATGATAATATTTGATTATTTAAATTATTTGATGAATTATCTTGTGAATAAAATTAATTAGGTCAAATTTAGATAATCATTAAATTAAATTTTTAATTTAAATTATTTGCTATTTGATCCTTTATGTTTTGAAAAGTTTAAAACTTGCCCTCAAGTTTTGAAATTTAAAATTTTGATTAAAAGTTTAACTTGAACTATTTAAATTTCAAACCCTAGAATTTTACTAGTTTAAAATTCAACCTTGTACTTGATATATATATATATATATATATATATATATATATATATATATATATATACACACACACACACACACACACTAGTAGGATACCCGCGCAATGCGGCGACGCGAGATAATTCCTTTCAATGTATGTTTTTCATGCCGCGATTAGTTTCATTTTCGTCTTTGATAATTCGTTTCATCCTTTTGAATGATTATTTTTTTCGGTAATTAGTTTTCTTTTTGTAGGACGTTGTTTCTGGATAAAAGGAAAAGCATGTTGCTAACTGCAAAGTTGATATGCATCGTTTGAAGGTGGTGAATTGTTCTTTTCAGCGAATAGTTTCATTTTGATGATAATGGTTTAGAATGAAGGTAACAAATGTAAATATGTTATTTTTTGTTTAAACAATATAAATATAATGCGACTTTGGGATAAAATTAAAAATACATTGTCTTTATGCTAAAAACAAAAGTACACTAAAAAACCCTTTGAAGAATAATTTATTTTCGGGAATTATTATCGGTGAGGTGGAGGTGAGGGTTGGATGGATATTTTTCTTTGGACATAAGGTTTACGGTTTAAAGAGGAGGGGATATTTTTGTTTCGATATAAGGTTTATTATCGCTAAGGAAGCATGCTACTTATTAATATTATAATCATCCTTCAATATTATCATATTCCCCAATCTCTCACGTAATTGTTTTTATTATAGTCACAAAAAATGAAATATTAAAATAAATTTTCACTAAAAGCTTAAACTTATGACCCAAAAAGTTCTTTAGAATATATACACTTATATAATTTGGGTTTGACATACATATTTCCTACCTTTTTATTCATATGAAAATATCAAATACATATATCTATTAGACCAACAAAAAGCCAGATCTTACATTTGATTTTTTACATGTTCTACTACCAAAAAAATCATACACTGTATATTGACATGCATGGCCAAAAGAATCTAACCAAAGATTTGTTTAGGTTTTAAAAATAAATATAAATTGCTTACACATTTGACGTAGCTTCATTTTTAAAATATCAATTATTATTTTAATTTATTGACATAATAATGATTACAATAAATTAAAGAACAAGTAAGAAACATCTTGATGTGAACCTATGAAATACCTAATGGAAATCAAACACTAACTCAAGTTCTCACCTGAAAATCAAACAGTAATTCAAATTCTAGAAACCCATAAATGTAAAAAGCACATATATACTTTATTATAAAACACCGTATAAATATTAAATAAACTCCAAATATCCATACATGATAAATAAACAAAGTTATAAACTTATACATGATAAATAAACAAAATTATACTACAAATATCCATACATGATAAATAAACAAAATTATACATGATAAATAAACAAAATTATACATGATAAATAAACAAAATTATTTTTCAAAGCTAAATATTTGATATAAAAGTAAAATTCTAAAAAAAACACAAGAGTAATCCATAAAATTAAGTTGCTGACATAATCTCTTCAAGTTTTTTTCTTCTTGTGTTTTTCCGTGATTTGAAAAATATGAGTAATGGACTAAAACATATATCCTGATGTTGTTGCCAAAGCAAAAGCTTTCCATTCGTAATACTCAGTGTTCGAAGCATCCACTTCCTCTTTTTTTTTCTGGTGCAGATGCAGACATTGCCAAGGCTAAAGTAGGACACACATCTCATTGGTCAGTCTCCAAATGTCATTGTTGTCATTACATTAATATGAATATAACATAAACAGATAACCTTAAAGAGAAGAAATTAGAAAATGATAAAAAACAATACAATAATTAACAAATAAATAAGGAGTAGAAAGAGGGATTTGAAAGGGGGAAAGAAGCTTTAGTTTCAGTAAAATGGAAATGTAGAAAACCCCCCAAAAGGTGTAGAATAACGACATAGCACAAAGTCTTAAGAACCCAGCAAAAGGTGAAATTTTCACAAAATCAGAACTAAAACACAAAATAAATAGATAAACCATAGACAGATTATAAATTTACCCCAAGGAGAATATTTGTGAGTAAAGGGTTTCTGAATCCAGATTTGATTTGCTTGGTTATTGTTGCACAAAGCCACAAACCCCACTCTTCTTGACTCAGGAGCAGAGTAAACCTTAAAACCGCCTAATATATTAAGAAACTTAAGTTCATTAAGAAAAAATTGAAATCAAATAGAGTAGAGTCGAAAAGAAAACCAAATAAAAAACACATATGAAAAAATTTGTTTCTAGAAAACCATATCTGCCAAAAATTAATAAAAGAAACAATTTATGAAGGTTTGCTATAATCGTGACCCTCTCTAGGGTTTCAAAGTAAAATAGAAAGAAAGTCATAAAACTTCATATGTATTCCAATTTGTTAAAATTAAAAAACATAAAACATGTTTACACAAAAAATGGACACCAATCATACTTAAGCATAGATGAAAAACTCAAGATTTCTTTGTGCGTCTATGGTCCGTCAAGATGCATATACACATAAGATGAAAAAAAAATACAAACATTACATGATGGGATTCATTTTCCGGAGGCCTGAAAAAAACGAAGTAAAAAAGAAGGTCACATTGATTAAACTTTTTGCATTCTATTCCCGTTCACCATGAATGCACCTGTAAATAGCAAAAGATCAGGTGGAGATGATTATGAACACTACTAAATGAAGAATCATAGACTACATGATTTTAAAACAAACCGTGCATTTAAAACATAAATAGATTAGATCATGAGATTTTGAGTAACAAAAACAAACAACTGTAATGGAAAGAGGAAGAGTTGAAGAGAGTGGAAAGAGGAAGAGTTGAAGAGAGTCGAGATTGTTGCTTGGAAAATCATAAAAAATGTGCCTAGTGGTGAATATGGTGACCGGAGTCAAAGAAGACCATCACCATGACCATGTATGTGGTGCCGATAAAATCTCTTGGTAACTGTACCTGCAAGCCAAATTAAAATTTAAATGAGAGAGAGAGAGAGAGAGAGAGAGAGAGAGAGAATCGATGATGCTAGTGTTTGGATATAGATCCAGATCCACTAATCGACACAGTGGAGAAACATGATGGTGTACTAAACTTGAAACACCAAATTCAGTTGTGTTCTTGGTCTCGTTCTTCAACCTCGGTTCATTCAATTTCCTATAATCTTCATCCCATATTCAAAACGATGAAGGTGTTTGTGTGTGATTTAAAAATTAGGGATAGGAAAATGCCACTCTGAATTTTCAGCTATTTCTCTTTCGATCCTTTTGATGAAATAATGATGTCTAGGGCTGATATTAGATTTAGGGATTTTAGAAATAATATGTGAGTGAGGGTGGCGATAGCTAGAGGTTTATTGAAGGGAGATTATTGGAATATATGGTGAAGATGGAAGTGAGAAATTTGTATGGCGGCGGAAGGTGGAGGTTCATGGAAGAATACAGGGGATTCCAGCTTAGACTTGGAAGCTTTGATTTGCGATTCCAGCTGAGGATACGAACAAATAAGAAGTAAGAAGAAGGAGTCGACTGAGTGATGTTTAATCGTTGTTGGGATCCAAGATATCTATTAATCCACTATAATCGTTGCATAGGTGGGGTGGGATTTAGAAGATAACCTTACCGATTCGAGATAATCGGTGTTGAGAGAGAGAGAGAGAGAGAGAGAGAGAGAGAGGAAATAAAGAAGAGGATTCTTACCTGAATCGGAAGTTCTAAGAACCAGCCATGACCAATGAACAAAGGAGCGAGCAAGAAAGAGAAATAAATGCCTTTTTGGTTCCAGATGTGTGAAAAATCGATTTCAAAAAGATTTGAATTGCCCGCCTTCGATTATAACATGATGGCAATGCGTGTGAGTCCCTTCTTTTTAAATCCCTACCATTCAAATATTATTCAACGGTACAGATTAGCTCTCCTTGTTTTTTAAGATAAGATGCTTAATTTTTTGTGCTTTATACTTTACAATTTGTACTTAAGATATTGATTATATATGCTTTTTATATATATATATATATGAGAAATCTTTAGAAAAGTTCTAATATTTACGAAAAAGTTACACTTTAGTCAAAAGATTTTTTTTTGAGCGAAAAGTCCCGAAAATCGGAAAAAATTTGCGGTTTGACCATTTTTGACCGGTTGAAACCGGTACCAAATTAATTTTGGACTATTTCGTAAACTAATCCACAATATTGGGACTTTTCTGTAAACAAAACATATTATGACTTTTCTGTAAACAAAAATATTATGACTTTCTACAAACAGAACCCTTATTATTATTATTATTATTATTATTATTATTAAAAATATAAATAAGAATACTATTTTTTGAACTTGTTATTATTAATATTGTTACTAATACATATAAATACATTAAATGAAAAAATAATATTAATGACATTGTTTAAAGGTGGAGGTGGAGGAGATGTTGATGCTTTTAGCGTTGAAATCATGAATGTTTGCTTCTATATTTTTACTTTGTATATGGTCATTTGACATTTGTTGTTATTGTTTTCAATTCAGAATAATAATACTTAACAATTTAAAAGAAGTTGCATATTTGTAAAATTGTTTATAAATAGTTTAAGCTAGAATGATTTCTCACTTTGTATATAAAAATGTTTAAGTTGGAATGATTATTTTTCAAATCCAAAAGATCCACTACAAATATCTACATAGGTAACCCATATCAAAATTCAAAAATATTAATTACAATATGTTGTTTAATAAAAAGCAATAGGACATGTTTTTTGGATTAATACTTTTGAATTTTGATTAATACTTTTGAATTATTCCTATTAATTTTTATTAGACAAAATATTGTAATAAATACTTTTGAATTTTGATATGGGTTACCTATGTAAATGTTTATAGTGAATTTGTTGGATTTGGAAAGTAACTCTTCTACCTTAAACAATTTTACGTACAAAGTGAGAAACTCTACTACCTTAAACTATTAATATGCAACTTCTTTCAAATTGTTAAGTATTAATATTTTGAATTGAAAACAATTATAACAAATATGAAATGACCATATACAAAGTAAAACTATTCAAGCAGATATTCACGATTTCAATGCTAAAAGCATCACCATCTCCTCCACCTCCACCCTTAAACAATGTCATTAATATATTTTTTTTCATTTAATGCATTTATATGTATTAGTAACAATATTAATAATAACAAGTTCAAAAAATAGTATTCTTATTTATATTTTTAATAATAATAATAATAATAATAATAATAATAATAATAATAATAATAATAATAATAAGGGTTGTGTTTGTAGAAAAGTCCTAATATTTTTGTTTACAGAAAATTCATAATATTTTTTGTTTACATAAAAGTCTCAATATTTTGGATTAGTTTACGAAATAGTCCCAAATTAATTTGGTACTGGTTTTATCCGGTCAAAGAGGGTCAAATTGAAAATTTTTGCCGGTTTTCAGGACTTTTTCGTTCAAAAAAAAGTCTTGGGACTAAAGTGTAACTTTTCCGTAAATATTGAGACTTTTCTAAAGATTTTCCTATATATATATATATATATATATATATATATATATATATATATATATATATTGGTATCAGAGAAGGAGACTGTGTGATCAATACACATTGCTTCTGTATTAAGAATTCTTTAGGGTTTCTACTTTTATCGAATATAAAGAAGCCGTCTTCTTCCTGTCGACGGTAACTCTTGTGTTTGATAAATCCCTAATCTCAAGTTTACAGGTCAGTTTCTAGCGGTTCTAAGGAAAGGCTCACCATGTCTCACGAAGATTCTCAAACTAATCCCATCAACATCTCTAATAGCATTGGATCCACTACAATGGTTCCCATTCTTTACAATCACGACTATGAAGTACAGGCGCATCACTTTGAAGATTACGTGGTTGGATCTAAAGATAATGGTTATCTCATCTGGGAAGCAATCACACTAGGGTCGTTTGTTCACTCTGGAACGAACACGACTGTGAAGACTCAAAAAGAATATAATAAGCTTGTGGCGGACGTAGATAAGATGCCAAAGGATGAAAAGGACAAGTTGTTATGTAATGTGAAAGCCATGAGAATGATCAGATTTGCTCTACACTCTGACACTTTTCGGTTAGTTGGTTCATGCACGACGGCTAAAGAAATCTGGGATAGGTTGAAAGAACTCTACTCAACCGATGAAGATCTAGAACACTCTATTCAAACCTTACGGCTCTCAGAATTTGGAGTTTTCGTACAGAAACCTGAAGAGAAATGTCACACCCTAAAACCGAGAATGGCAGAAACATTATGGGGTGGAGGATGTTATGTACAGTATCATAACAATGCATACCAGTAAAGACAAGCAACAACATCCATTGCATTATATAATAATTGTAATACAAGCGTGTTTTGTACAGTTTGTTAGACACCAAAAGTATAATCAAAATAAAAGATGAGTCTTTTCTGTCACACCCCAAAATCGAGAACGGCAGAAACGTTTTGGGGTGGAGGACGTCATGTACAATATCATAACAATGCATAATAGTAAAGACAAGCAACAACATCCATTGCATTAATATAATAATTGTAATACAAGCATGTTCTGTACAGTTTGTTAGACACCAAAAGTATAATCAAAATAAAAGATGAGTGTTGTATGTACTCCATCTTCTCAAAAGCTACATCTGTACCTGTCTACTGATGACCTAAGAATACAAGTTATTTTGAAAACGAGTATTAGCATAAAGCTGGTGAGTTCATAAGTATTTAGTGTCATTGCTTGTATAAAAGTGTTTACAATCATGTAATATAATAGCTGTTATCAATGTTTGAAAATAATATGATCCTTAGAAAATCCTATATTTTCCAGCAAAAGTAGTCTTCTACAAAGACTCGGTTATTTGTATGTTTGATCCTTTGAAAATATAAAAGTTTTCCTAGTGAAACTATTAGTATGAAAATATAGTTTTAGACTTCATTCATGTAAAGTAATCTGGAGAATAATGTTTTACCCCAGCAGTGTCACTGCCGGCTGAATGTAATAAAAATGCAGACTCCAAGTAGTATTAAATGTACAATACACCTCGGGGAGTCTGTTTTGCCTTTAATTCTTAATGTGTTAACTAAAGGTCTGAATGTGAACTCGTATGTAACCATGCTGATTGACGATCGAATAACATATGACCCTCCAGGTCACACGTAGTATGGTGACATTTTGTCACCCCTGGGCCTAGTCGGCTCGGACTTTAGCTAGCAGTCGGGATGTGGGAGTGTTTGTCCCGTATAGATCTATACACATTATGCCCACTCTCCCTCCAGGAGACTCTGGTTACGAAGTGATAGCACAATGAAGTGTCGCATCGAGAAGTAGTATGCCACATTTTGTTTTAGTATATTCTCTTGTATTAGTGTATAATGTATTTTCTTGGTATAATGTATAGAGTGTTATTTCGTATAGTATATAGTATTCTCTTTACATAGTATTTAACGTGTATTGACTCATAACAGTACTAACTATAGTATGAGTCATGGTAATAGTAGAAATAAATGGTAGTCCTTAACTATACCTATTATAGTTAAATGGAAATGTTAGTTGCATGCCTTTGATACACAAAGGTATTGACTGATGTGAAGACTTTTATATCTAACAAAAATATATAATATATAACTAAGAATTCAACGATAGTCGGACAGATATCAATATACCCTAAGTCCACATCAAACAAGAACAGGAAGTAAGGTGAGCTATCAGTCCTAAGTCCTTCAAGTTTTAATTATATAAATATATTGGTGTAGATATGGTTTGGGAAAAAAGTGGTTTAAAAGAGTTCGGAAATAGTTTTATAACAATTTAACATGAAAAATGAGTTTGACAAACATTTAAAGCAGTTTTGTTGGCAAAGCAGTTAAAAGTATAGAAAATCCTCTTGGTTGCAAGTTATAAATCACATGTAATTGATACTATAACTTGTTTGATTCAACTTGTATCCCCCCATAAAAGCATTTAAAGCATTTAGAAGGTTGATTAAGGGGTATGAACTCACCTGCAGTGAGTTGATTTGATGGAAGTGCCGGGTAGGATGCTAGGTGTCAAGTGAGGACTTGCACACACACACGGATCCTATGTAACATGTAGTGACACATAAATGTATCTTATTAGTTATTTAATCTCTAATTAAGTAAGTAAAGACACGATAATGCATGAAAACACTTTGTTTCAAGTGCTAGGAGTGTTAAGGGTTGTAACTAAGGAGTGTATGGCCTTACAATGGAGTTTACTCCTCAAATGGTTTCCCTTAGAGGTGTTTACGGTTTTCGAACCATTCCCCCATGAGTTTATGGCCGTAAACTCATGGGAATGGTGTGTTTGTGTGTTTTAAGGTCTCATGTTTCACAAAGAAGTGTCCTAGGGTTGATTTAAAGGCTTTGGAAGTGGTTAGGGCTTGAAATGGCACACTTCTTGGAGTTCACGGTCCTTGGACCACCTTTGAGAGTTTATGGTCATAAACCCATGAGTTTACGGCCATAAACTCATGGTTACTCCAACCATTTCGTGCTTTGGTGTTTCTAGTTTATGCATGCAAGGTTCTAGCCTCTTACCCAAGCTATAGAAGGTGTTAGGGGCATCAAAACACCCTTTGGGGGTGTTTACGGTTTTGGGAGATCCCCAAAACATAAACTCATGTTCTTGGGGGTTTTTGGTGTTTAGTCCATGGATTATCGAGTATACTAAGCAAACAACTAGCTAGGAGGAGTATACTTACCTATATGAAGCTTGTAAGAGAGTTTAGGACCCAAAAACACTAGTGTGTTCTTGGTGTTTTGAAGATCACTTGAAGATCTATGTAAAACCGAAAATCCATGGATGAGATGATGTATAAACACTAGATTAAGTGTTGTAGGGAAGAA